AAAAATATAAAAATTTATCTACATATTATTTTATTTATCCATGTCATCATTATTTCTAGTTAGATGATCTATGTTATTATTTTTTTCCAGTTAGATTATACATGTCATTAAAAAAATATAAAAAATACCATATGAATGAAGTTAACGCTTTAAACTGACGAAAGTATCAAAATTGTGTAATTGTTAAAGTTAAAAGATAAAAAAATGCAAAAAATAGTTTAAGGACCAAAAAAGTGCAAAAAATAATTTAAGGACCAAAAAAATACAAAAAATAGTTTATGAACCAAAAAAGTACAATTTAATAAAGTTGAGGGATAAAAAAGTGAAATTTAATGAAGTTAAGGGACAAAAAAGTGAAACTGAATGAAGTTGAGGGACCAAAATTAGCATTTAACCAATTTTTTTGTGTGAAATGTGACGGAACATGAACGGAATAATAGGAGATTTGACGGAACTTAGTTTTCCGTACAATTGAGACCTTATTTGAGAATTTCGTGGAGTTCGGGACCTTCATTGAGCACAATCGAAGTTTGGGTCCGAAATTGCGAATTTGGTGTAAGTTCGGGTCCTTATGTCATATTTTTGCCTTGAAATAATTTAGCTTAGGGAAATGATCAGGAGTGAACTTCAATGGCCAACTTTGCTATGTAATCATTTTACAAGACACCGAGATGAAAAAAATACATATTTTTTTGCAATAAAAATTTTTTAAGCAATGAAAATAAAAATTACAAATTTAAAATATTATCTTATATGGTACTTACATTAAAATAGTATTTTTTTTACATTAAAATTTTTTAAGATAAAAAGAGAATTTGTTTAATTATATGTAACTTATATTGTATTTTCCTTAAAAATATAAACATAAAACAAAATAATATGTTTATACTATTTACTAAAAGGTATTCTATAATATAATTTCTAACAAAACAAAAAGTAATATGCATCAAATGAAAATTCTAATATGAACCAATCTAAAAAAGGCATTTTCACTTGTTCCACTTTATACAGTCAATTTGCAGTAAAAAAAAAAAAAAAGAAAAGAAAAAGAGAGAGTAAAATTTTCATATCAAAGAGCTTAGTGAAAAGGTGCTAAAATGCTAAATTCTTTTGCTAAACACATTCTTCTTCTGCCTTTTCTGTCCTTTACCGTTTCCTCCATCTAACTTTTCCAGATCCATTGAAGCAACCATCCTATGCTTTTCCACGCCCTTTCCTATTACAAGTTTTGATGTAGATAGCTTTATTGAATAGGATTTGGTAGGGATTGGTGCAGTGTAGATAGTTTCACTTTAACCCCCGCACCATTAACAAACAAAACTCATCAAAATTTATGCTACTGAAATATAAAAATAATTCTATATTCTGAATGAAGTTGGTTACATTATTAACGAGCAGAAATTAAATTAAAAATAAGTGATTAAATTTATAAATTTAGAAAAAAAAATAACTAAATAAAAAGTTATATGATAAATATGAGTGATTACAAAAATTTCCATCAGAACGCGAGTCCCGTAATGACCGGCAAGCTTGCTAGTTTGCTATTTTAAGTCTAAAAAAATGATATCTCTTTCTAAGACAAGTCCACCGTAGCCCTGGTGGGCCAACGTGTTTGACTAGGTAGCTTAATTACAATGTGTCACGGCCCGACCCAACGGTCCCTTTTCCAGTTTCCGTCAACAAGTTGTGTACAAAATTATTATTTGAAAATAATAAATATTTTTTAATTTAAAATTTATTCTAAAATAATAATTGTGTACAAAAACTGCCCCCTAATCATTAAAATTCTTGGGTTTTGCTTGATATTGTTTGAACTTTGAAGTCTATTTTTTTTCTCTTTTTTTTGTTGTTGATAAAATTAAGCTTTAAGTGATAATTGTAATGTTCTTTATCGATTGATGCATAAGTGGTTATTGTGAAACTTCATCTATTTATG